TCATGTAATAAATTTAATAAGATGACTTTGATGAAGGATAAAAGAAATATTTTCTCTCTGGTCTATAAATAAACGAGAGAGAAGTACAGTAGGACTTTTCAGTAATTTTATTTTGGGACTTGATTAATTTTAAAAAATTTATGTGTGTGGGACCCGCTATATGTGGTCTGTACTCCAAGTGTTGGTCAGAGTAAAGATAAGGTGAAGAGAAACCTTTCCTATAATAATATATTAGTCACTCGGAGCATGATTTAAGGTAGCGAAGATAAACAATTGATGGAAAAAAAAAAAACCTAATCAGAGCTGCCAAAGGGAACTAGTTTCAGTGCTCATAAGCACCATGATGCTCATCACTGTGATGAAATCTAAACCATTCAGATATGGTTTTAATGATATAGATTTAAAATTTTTAACTAGTACTTTTTAAATAAAAAATTTATTTTTTAAGAAATTTACAGTTAAGCTATTACTTTTATTTTGGATTATATACCTATTAATAAAAAGAAAATATTTTTTTTAAAAATATTAAATATTAAACCTTGACCATTCATATTAAATTTAAATGGCTGAGATTTGATTAGTGTTATGATGCTCATAATTGCAATGAGCACTACAACGATCACCGGATTAACTTCTGAGAAATCTCAGTCTGCAATAAGCTCAACCTTATTGATGCCTCTGATTGGAACCAAAGTCACACGAACAGTATCATCGTCCTTGGCTTCTAAATCCTCGATCCAACAAATCATCAATCAAATATCAACAATATTCTTCAAATCTTATAATACCCAATTCATTGCGTCAGACAATATGAGGTTCGAATATATTTAATTGATGAGACTTGAATAATATCTTAATTAGGATTTGAATGTATTGAATTAAATGGGAAACATTATAATTAAATGGGAATTTCAATTGGAGGCTCAAATGATAAAAAAATTAATAATTAATTTTGGATTAAAATAATATCTTAATTAGGATTTTAATATATTGAATTAAATATAAGTATTGTCCTATTTCAAATCAAATCAAATATATCAGTATGTGCATCACACGGGGGAGAAATTTCTAGTTCAAACCTTAAAACATGTAATAATACTTTTTTGTATTTAAAAAAAATAAGGTCGTTTACTATATAGGAACAAATTAAACACTTGACATATCAGCACACCAAGAGGTAGCAGAAAGAACACGTACACAGACACATAAAATTACATATATCCTATTATCACTGAGTGGTGCATAATCAGGATATTATGCATGATCATAACATCAAATATTAACACACAGTTACCCCACATAACTAGAATTACTCCTCTACGCACGTACGGTGCATAGTACAAGGGCCATATATAGAATGTCACAGACTTAGTATTATTACGCACGCTTAATTTCATTCATCTATATACTCAATCTTGATACCTTCAATGATGATTTGTCCCTTCCCAGCCTGAGGCACAAGAGCGACACCCACACGCTCTTCATTATCAGCACTCAAATCCTCCAAGAACTCTGTAATCCCAAGTCTCAGATTATTCTTCATGGTCAGCGTCTTGTGATGATGTGGCACGCTCACAAAACTCCCCGCGAACTCAGTAGTAATGGGCCCACCGGCCCCGCTGAATTCACCTTCCCGGTGCACATACACATCACCGGTGAATCGCTCGCAGAAAACTCGATCCCTTCAATCACTAACACCTCCTCCGTCATTTCCTTCTCCTTCTTACTCCTTCCCTTCTTCTCTCTTTCCACAGTAATACTCACGGGGGCGCGTAAAACCAGAGGGAACTGTACCTTGCCCCCATCGAATTTTTTCCCTTGACTTTTCAAGAACGTGCTACTGGAACGTGTAGGCTTGGCATCTCTCCACGGGATTCCAACATCCTGGTACGTGTAGCCTAGCTTTCTGGTGTCAAGGCAATCCTTAATTTTGATGTGATATTCACAACCTTTCTTTCAGCATCAAAAGCTAGAAAATCGGACGTGATTTTGCTGCGGCATCACCAAGTTTTTATCCACATGCATAGAGGATGGGATAAAGCTCATGCGCACTCACCTGAAAAAATTTTATAGTGTTCCTCATTATCTCAATGTTCATATCATCCAGGTCCTAGAAAGAAAGAATTCACAAGAAGGAATATGAGATGTGAAGAAGGAGATTTAGAAATAAATTGTTCCCACTTTTGCCATAGGCCCATATCACTAAATACCTTAAGCTAAACATATGCTGATTGTGGACTTAAAACTCTGAACAAATTTGAGAGCAACAAGGACATTTCACAAGTATAATTAAAATTATGCGGCCAGCGTGTTAAGCTTCCGGAAATTCTAAGCAACTGCTAAATCCCACTTCTTCAATTTTTTAAATCGAGTTCATTAAAATTTTCCTCTCTTCCCCTCTCCTCCATTTCCCCCATTGCAAACGAACTCTTAGTGGGAACTTATTATAATCAATAGACATATTTTTAAAATATATATATTGAAAAATAAAATAAATTGTTATATTATATTTAGAACTAAATTTAATTTTGTAACTAACTTTTATATTAAATATAGGAGGTTCTATATTATATGAAAATACTTCATAATTACATCATCACTAGCTAGCTAGCATGTGACTCAGCGCATATCCAACGGTTTTATAGTTTTGTTTCCGGCGTCTTTCATAAATTTTCATGGTCCCTAATTAATTAATTCCAATTCTTAATTGCACCAGCACGATGCCACATGAGGAGAAAAAAAAAGAATAATGGGATGAGCGGATTGCTTCTCAAAAAGTTTTCTCTTTTAACCAAAACTTCTGAAAAAGTTAGAGCCACAAGCATTTGCAAGAACCTAATTTCTTGTGCTATATATGAGTCCTATATTATAGAACAAGTAATATATATTACAATTATATCTATGCATAAATATTTCGTTAACCATTTTCATTTAAATTCGTGAAATATATATAATCTTAGGTTATTATTAAACTGAGTTTTATATATTTCTGAAAATGCATGAATGAGGATAATGTCTTTATAAATGAACATCTTAGATCTGGTAAAACTATAGCTAGCTAGTTAACTAGAAACCCACAAAATGTGGGGAAACAGTATAACTTATAAAAGAAAACAAATCAAAGAATTAAAGAACAGAACAATAATGTCCATTATATGCTATCATTGCCTCGTAGATTATTTTTTTAACATATTCATAGGAATTGGATCAATGAAATTAAAGGACCAAGGCATTTTGTAGAACAAGTCGTTTTATGTGGGTACAACTTAACCCTCTCATACGCAGTAACTCATATTATTGACGGCTTCGCATAACCAGTAGACTCTCATACCTTAAGTAGGTAATTAGGGGTATATAATAATTTATGAAAAAAAAGTATGTTTTAAATTAATTCTATATATTAAAAAATTATAAACGAATATCGGATAAAATACCTTACTAGAATAACTGTTTTAAAGTATATTATTTAGAAGTGAATTAAGTAGCAGCATTACAGTAGGTAAATAAATATAATTATAAATTTCAGAATAATTATATATGGGGTTATTTATATATGTATAATCAGTATTTAATATTTGGATGATTTATAAAATAAATGGATTTAGATTTTATTTATCAAAATAATAACCTAGTTATAAGAGGGGGGAAAAACCATATCATTCTCTTTGAAATTGCCTTCATTTTTTTTCATGCCACACGCCCACATCATTGTCAGAGCCATTCTCATATCTTTTTCTCGCTTTTCTGTTTTTGATGTGTGTGTCTCATCGTTGCGTGTGGCTATTGCTAATCTTTTTTGTAGCCTGTATCATTCAGTTCTCTTGTCTTCTTGCTTCTCGTCTTTCTTGTCTTCTTGCTCCTTTTCTGTATCGCATCTGAGGTACGTCTTATCTTTAGCTATCATTCCGTATTCCAACTGAAAAGCCAAAGAAAGGGGAAAAAAATCAATCCTTTCAAACTTTGTTTTTATATATTCAAGACTTTCACATGCTAATATTAAATTCCTATCATCTCAAGGTGATTTCTATCAGCGACTAATAATATTACATTTTAATAAGAAATTTCTTGATGATCTCCACTGCTACTCAAGTAATATTGAGTTCGATTAGAATAATCAAGGATATAAAATTTGGGAATTTCAGGGAATTGAATTAGAGTTTAACATATAATTTACTATTCTAATAAATTAATTGAACTAAACACGGCTAAGAGATATATAGGGATTCAAAAGAGGAATTGATTTTTAGAGGATAGCCTTTAAGAATAGAAAGTAGATTTAGAGTAGTTTTAAAGTAATTTTAAAATAATTCGTTTAGTAATAATTGATAGATACTTATGTGTATGATCTTTGTGAATTAAAGTCTCATTAAGAACTTATCTTTGCATGTTTGGATGGGGATAACTCGTTTGTCATTGTGTGTAAGCTGAAGAGTAATAGATAATTTTGAATTTTCTTTCATATATTTGTAAACTATGCATAATGTACTATTGTTCACTATCTTACAATAATGGTGCTAGTGGTAATCGCGCATTCTAATTTCTATGATAGGGCTACTCATCATGGAGTTCTTTTTTTTTTTTTCCCCTCCATGTCCCAGCTTGTTTCAAATCTGTTCCTTGGTGAGATTGATAAAATTAGAATGATATAAATAAATTGGTTTCAATTGGTAGGGTTAATAAATTATAAAGAAAATACTTTATCCAGTTCTAAATATGAGGTTGATTTTATAATTCTGCGTTTAATCCTAAATATAATGTCATAATCCCTCTTGCCTCCCAACTAATTTTCTTCTCTCTTATTCTTTTATTTATTGAGGAATTTTCACCTCTACACATTGGATTTTAATTTTTTTTTTTTTTTGCAATCAAAGACAAAATGATGACATTCATAGCAAATAAGATTTTTAAAAGTTACAAATACTTAACAATCCTATTTTAGCAAAATTAAAGTTAAGAAAACAAGATTTAGAAATAACATCAATATTAAAGGACACATGGGATTTTAATAATTCAATGACAATATGATTTTTCAAAGTGCCAAAAACTCTCTATGTATTGATTAAAATAGTATGTGGATAAGATGAATAGAAAACTTTCTACATTGGTCAGAGTATGGATAAGGTTAGACAAGGCTGTGCTCCTATTCGCTCATCCCCTTCCCCTCGTGACCCTATCATAAAGATCTCACGTCTCATCTTGCGTGAACATGACAACTTATACATCCTGAAGTTTAATGATTTTAGCTGCAAAAAAATAAGGTAGCCAAAATAAACAACTAATGAAGAAAATCACTCGAAGCCACCATGAAAGATCACCAAATTAACTTCTGAGAAATCTTAGTCTTCAATAAGTTCGATCTTGATGCCTCTGATTGTGACTCGCCCTTTCCCATACCTCGGAACCAAAGTCACACGAACACTATCATCGTCCTCGGCTTCTAAATCCTCCAATAAATCACTCAACCCCAACCTTAAATTTGTAATAATCTTCTTGTTCTTGTGCTTGTGCGTGTGAGGCACGCTCACAAAACTTCCTGCGAACTCTGAGTTATCTGGCCTTATAACCTTATCATCTTCGTCATTAATGAACACATCAAACTTCACTGCTTCGTTTCTCTCAAAGTCAATCCCTTCAATCACCAACACCTCCTCCTTCTCTTCCTTCTCCTTCTTGCTCCTTCCCTTCTTCGGCCTCTTCACATCTGTACTCACTGTAGACTCCAGAACGACAGGGAACTTGACAGATTTTGAAGAAGTCTCAGCAGCTTGTGCAGCTCCAACACCAAAAAGTTGAGGAACTAGGGCTACCTTTTGAGCTTTCGAAGACCTGCGACGAGGTGTGGGCTTTGATTTCAGCCATGGAAGTTCGACGTCTTGATAGAAGTACCCCAGTTTTCTTGTGTCGAGGCAATCTTTGACTTTGACGCGTACGAGGTTCTTGTTCTCGTCGTAGAAGAGGAAGCCGGAGTTCAACCAGTCTGGGTCGGAGATGTCTCTTCTCTTGCCTCCTAGGGTTTTCCATATGCTCCACATTCTGTCGACGTTGGAATGATGGCCGAAGAAAATGGGGTCTCTGCCAGCTGAGTAAAAGGTTCCCATGTCTTCGTAGTTAGGCTGGGTGTTGTCGCCCGTCCATAAGTGGACCGGACCGTGAGGGATGTTCTCGATAGAGCCGGCGCCGGGGTCCGGCTCATCTCCGGCTCGGTAGGCACTTCCGAAGAATAGTCTGTGTATTAAAATAAAGATAAGCATGAGAAATATGAAAAATATAGTATATGGGAAAGACAAGGGAGACCTTTCATATATACCAAACACGGGCGTTGAAAATCAAAACCATTGGATGCAGAAGTGGGCGCACGTACTTAGAAGAAAACTGTAATTTTTTTTTTTTTGTGACAGAAAACTTTAATTTTTAAAGTATTCATTTCAAGCCTTGGATACAGTGACCCACCATACTTTTTAGAATATTATTTATTCAATTAGTGGGCACAGTGGTGATTTTTTCTTATATGGACTGATTTATTATTCCAATAAGAGGGCAATATTGATTATGTCTATTTCACCGCTATTTGTATAATTAAATGTATTAAGAGAAGAGTTAGTATATAATACATTAATACATTTAAGCGATTTTAGAGTTAAATGACCAAAGCTGTATTTTCTAAAGTTAAAAGACCTAGTCAAAACTTCGTAAAATTAAAGAAAAAAATGCATACTTTTAACCAAAAGATTATATTAATAATACATGCATTGTTATCATTGAAAAAGGTTTTCCAAAATTTAAATTACTTAAAGTTTATTTATGATCAACTTTACCCAACACATTACATGACTGCTGGATGGATTAAGCTTATTTTTTATGGGGTATGAATGAGATAAAAATTCACGAATTATACTTATACTAGGTCAGTCCCCAACAATTTCACCTAATATAATAAGACCTTGGGATTTCCTGGCAAGGCCATGATACTAAAGGCTAAACCTTCAGGAGAGTAGCGAGAACCCCAAACCAGATGGGGTATACCAGTTTCGTTCATTTGAGTTGACTACTTGATTTCAAAATATCCTCTATTTAACACTTTTGTTAAATGTAAAAAATATATTTAGCATGATTGAAGTATTTTTATTTAAAAAGTAAATAAATTGGACTAAAGTCAACTAGGTGAGATCGGCGCATATATTTTGAAACGTTTGAAAAATTAAATTAAATTTTACGTACATAAGTGAGAAAACTTACGTTGGAGTTTTAGCGTTGGAGACCATTTGCCTATACATGATGGTGAGATTACTGGAGATGACGCTACGACCGTTGTTACTGTTCTGAGACGTGGAACTGTCGTCGTCGATGTTAAAGTCAAGGTCCGTGATTGCCGGAGGTTGGTGTTTCGCACTACGAAGAGCATCATACAGAGATGACGCAGAATCTGTGTAAATCGCCGGAATCTGCATTCCGGGGGGAGAATCCCAATTCCAGAACGGCAACGAAAAACTGGGATCTCCGATCAGGTTCCCTAAGATTCTCTCGTGGAAATAAAGGTACCAACGATGAAAGGGAAAGAAAAGCCAAGAATTATGGACTTGGAGATCGAGGTCAGGGAACCCTGCTTGGTGATACGCACCGTCGCAGTATGCGCAGTGAACGTTAGCTTGTTGTGTGAAGCTACGTGGGTCATCGGAAGGTAAAGCTTTCATGAGCTCAATGGCTTTCTTGTACTTTGCTAATTGGTCGGCGGTGACCAAGTGAGCCGCCGATCTAACCCTAAGGGGTTTAGAGGGTGGAAACTTGAAGTCTATGATTTTTGAGGAAACTGGCGGGCAACAATTGGTTGGTTCAACGCCAGATGGTAGATCCGGAGGGCCACAGGTGGTTAGGTCCGGTGGGGACACCGGAGCAGCGAAGGCAAAAGGGTTGGCGGCGGCAGCACCGTAAAGCCCTCCAATGGCGCCAAGGACAACATTTCTCCGATTAGCTAGAACATGAAATAGTTGTTGATCTTCTTGGGAGATGTTTTTAGGGTTTTCAGAGTCACTATGCATGGCTTTGCATGAGAATTTGGAAACATGATAACGTTTTGGTTTGGCATTTCTGGAGGATCGTGGCTGAGAGAATGGAGACAAGGAAGAAGTAGAAGAAGAGGCATGAATGGAGGACAAAAAGGAAAGAGACGATGATGAGATAGAGGCCATGTTTTGGTAAGTTGGTTTGAGATGATAAGTTAAAAGTGGTGGTATCGAAGGCTTTTATAATGAGATTGAGAAGACCATTCCAAATTTAAAAGATAGAGGCACAGAGATTTAGAAGACTTTCTATTCCGAGAGTTTTCGTAGTGGTGATGATATCAAACAAGAAATTTGTTTGAAAGCCTTTAATTTTGACATTTCAGAGCTGCATTTATTGCGAGCATAACTTGCTAATTTAATAATCGAAAATGTCTCCAGTTACTCTAAATTTTCTTCAATGACCAGTTGCCTTTATTGGACAATTCATAACTTCATTTTACAAATTTCGATTTTTTTTGGGTATTTAAAGTAGACAGTTCTCAGTCCAAAAAAAAGAAGAAGCAGATAATTCTGATTGCACTATAACAAATTCTCGAGGAGGTAATCTTTCTCAGTTTCTTGAGTATGAAACTTGATTACTGTTTCTTTCGTTTCTTTGTGACATACTTCCTCCTTTCTTTATTGTAAAATATACGTCTATTTATTTTATTATATAAAAATACGTCTAGTTATTTACCTCGCCATAGGAAAAAAAATTATATTCACCCATATTTAAAACTATGTATTATATATTCAACTAGATAAAAGTTATATATGGATAAAAAAAATTGCTTCAGACTTTATTAAATAAACACAATCTTAACAAAAAAAATATAACCAATACTCATGACTTATAATGGGGATCATTTATTTCTTTATAGAATACGCCCTCATGATAAAAAAAATGATGCGAAAAAGGTATATTTTCAATTTTTAAAATATTGACATGTGCTTAGACAAAGTTATACATGAATGATATCAAAGAAGAAATATGTTTGAAAGCCTTTAATTTTGACATTTCAGAGCTGCATTTATTGCGAGTAAAACTTGCTAATTAATGTAAATGAACTATTGTGCATATAATTAATTCTCCAGAATTTAATAAGCGAAAATGTTTCCACTTCTCTAAATTTTCTTCAATGACCAGCTGCTTTTATTGGACAATTTGTCATCTTACAAATTTCGATTTTTTTTTAAGTATTTGAAGTAGACAATCCTCAGTCCAGAAGAAGAAAAAAAGGAAGACAATTCTGTTTGTATTATAACTAATTCTCGAGGAGGTAATTTTTCTCCGTTTCTTGCGTATGAAACTTGATTACTGTTTCTTTCGTTTCTTTGTGACATACTTCCTCCCTTCTTTATTGTAAAATATGTCTAATTATTTAACTCACCATGACCAATAAAACTTTAATTGTCCAAATATAGAAATAATTATATTCACTCATATTTAAAACTATGTATTATATATATATATATATATATATTCAACTAGAGAAAAGTTATATATGGATAAAAAAAAATTGCTTCAGACTTCACTAAATAAAGACAGTCTTAAAAAAAAAAAATTAGTACCCTTGACAAGGATCATTTATTTCTTCATAAAATGTGCCCTCATGATAAAAACTGATGCGAGAAAAGCTATCTTTTCAATTTTTAACATTGCCATGTGCTTTATGCAAAGTTATACATAAATAAGTTTAATAAAAAAAATTTCGAAGAAAATTGCATCGTATATATTGCTCGTAATTTGATAAACTAAAAGTTCCATAGTTATAAGAATTACAGTAATATATAGTTTGATTACAAAGAAAATTATTTTATAGGTACCCATATTTTTCCGTAATTATTAATTTGATACGTATATCTTTTTATCTCTTAATTAAATCTTTTAAATTTGCTTAGTTAGCACCATCAACCACGGTAACTTTGATCTGTTAACAGTACTGTTAACTCCTATATAAGAGCTAATGGTGCCAATACTACAAAATTAAAGAATTTAATTAACAAAGGTAGAGGTACTAAATTAAAATTTAAAAGAACACACACACATATATATAGACGTTCTTATAAAATGGGTTCCCGTTAACCATAGTTTTGTCTTTTGAATGTGATTACTACCTATTTTTTAGATTCTTGAACCTAAATTTTTAAATATTACCTTCGATTCTAATTATAAAACTTCTTTTATAGTACACAAATGAGGTCTTATAATTAGGACCGGAGGTAATATACTTTTACTCCCTCCGATACCAAATGTATGTTATCAGATTGTTGTCATGCTCAGCGCTGCTGGCGCTGCCCCTTACCAAGAACATGAAAAAAAACTGAAAAATAAATACGCTCTCCCATGCTAATGTAAAGCTATATAATTAATTTATGGACATTAAAATATTAATTAAATTAATTATTTATAATAAATGTGTGATGATTTTTTTTTAAAAAGTACTCTCTTTGATTATTATTCCTATAGATAAAACTCCCTTTAATATATATGATAGGTATGGATGGTTTAAAAAAAATTGTGTAAATTTGAGAAATAAAATGAATTAAGATTTAATATTTAAGAGCAAAACAAACTATTCAAAAGCTATTAGACTATTTTGTAATAAAACATGTTTTAGTAATTTCGTATAGTTTTAGAATTGAATGAAGAGGGTCATTGTTAGATATTGGACTGGCCAAAAGAGAAATTATTACCTATGGAACTAATCCATCACAGTCAATTGGGAAAACAAAAACGTCAATAAAAAATATTTCGATTTTTTTTGGTTTGGTATTTGAAGTAGACAGCTCTCAGTTCAGAAGAAGAAAAAAAGAAGACAGTTCTATTTGTATTATAACTAGTTCTGGAGGAGGTAACCTTTTTCCGTTTCTTGCGTGTGAAACTTGATTACTGTTTCTTTCGTTTCTTTGTGACATACTTCCTCCCTTCTTTATTGTCATGTCTAATTATTTACCTCACCATGATCAATGAAACTTTAATTGTTCAAATATGGAAAAAATTATATTCACTCATATTTAAAACTGTGTATTACATATACATATATATATTCAACTAGAGAAAAGTTATATATGTATAAAAAAATTGCTTCAGACTTCATTAAATAAATATAATCAATACCCATGACAAGGATCATTTATTTCTTTATAGAATACGCTCTCACGATAAAAACTGATGCGAGAAAAGGTATATTTTCAATTTTTAAAATATTGCCATGTGCTTATACAAAGTTATACACGACTAAGTTTATTTGGGTGAAGAATGATAATTTTTTTGGGAACAAAATTACATCGTATGGCTCGTAATTTGATAAATTAAAAGCACTAGCTTTTAGGAGAGACGGGGGGATTGAGGGTGTTTATAGTTTGATTACAAAGAAAATCTTTTTATAGGTACATATATTTTTCTTCAATTATTAATTTGATACTTATACCTTTTTATCTCTTGATTAAATCTTTTAAATTTGTTCTGTTAGCACCATCAATCGCAGCAACTTTGATTCATTAACAATACTTTTAGCTCCTATACAAGAGCTAATAGTGTCAATACTACAAAATTAAAGAATTTAATTAAAAAACTGTACAGGTACTAAATTAAAATTTGAAAGAATATATATAGGTACTTGTAAAATGGGTTCCCTTTCATCATATTTTTGTCTTTTGAATGTAATTACTACATATATTTCATATTCTTTAAGCTAATTTTTTAAATATATTTTTTACATCAAATTGTTGTCATACTCAACACCGCTACCTCTTACCAAAAACATGAAAAGAGCGGAAAAATAAATGCCCTCCCCTATCCCAATGCAAAAGTTAGATAATTAATTTGTAGATATTAAAAAATTAGTTAAACTAATATTTGTAATAAATTTTGCATTGATTTTTTTTAAAGAAAGAACTCTCTTGGATTACTATTCCTATAGATAAAACACCCTTCAAAATATGTAATTAGTATGGTCGGTTTAAAAAAAATTATAAATTTTTGAAGTAAAGTAAATTAAGATTTTATATTTAATAGCAAGATCGTTTAACTAGCTTATATATTTACAGTTGGAGAGGCTATTAGACTATTTCGTAATAAAACATGTTTTAGAATTGAATCAAGAGGGTCATCATTAGATATGGGACTAAAGAGAATTCATTGCCTATGGGACTAATGCATCAGAGAGTCAGCTGGGAAAACAAAACGTCAGTAATAAAAATCACAAACGCAGGTTTACATTCAATTCATTATTGAAAGAAATACTCCCTCAATTAAAAAACTATACTAACTTTTTAACGTTTTAACACATAGATTATGAAATGTAATTAATACTACTTCCGATCTTTAATATAAGAGCTCGTTCGACTTTTATTTTAGTCCTAAATATAAGATTTCAATCTACTTTATTTCTCTTTTTTTTTTTAAGGTAATCCTTATAATAATAGTGGTTCTAACCAATATATATTTAATTAGTAAAGATATTTTGGAAAAAAAAAACCTATTTATTATAAATAACTAACTTAATTAATTTTTTTAATCTACTCAAATTAGTCAACTAGTTCTTATATTAAGGATTGACGGTAGTACATTTGCTAAAATACTGATCACATTGTCAACATTTTTCTCAATTAAATGACTTAAGACATTTTCGCATTTATCGTTTAGGAAAAGGGCCAATAGGAAAAATGCTAGTAATAAATACTGCTTTGAACTTCTGAAAAGGTATAAAAAAAAAAATGAAACAAGAGTTTTCTTCTTAAAACACTTATATTATATAAAACAGATGGAGTACATTAGCTTAATCTTAAGCATGTTTCTAACCGACATTAATTAATTGCAAATTTCAACGAACAACAATAACAATAGAACAAAACTGTATAATCTAACAGCTCATCAAATTATTATTTTATTTGTATAAATAAATATGTATATTAAGTAACTGGCACAGCTAGAATAGAAAGTGATTAATAATTTATTTTCCTAGAAGCTTCGGTTTAAATGTGAAGAGATTAACGTTGAGTTTTATACAATACACATCATTTTTTTTTTGCCAGCGTACTATACACATCATATGTATTTAGATTATTGATGATATTAATATAAACTTGCAATTAAAAATATAGAGATTAGACTTAAGTTCAAAGTGACTTGGAAATACTCTTATTTATAACCAAATAATATTTTTTAGAATACTCTTAGTTTTGAAAGAAAAATTAATTATTTCTGTATCATGCAACGGTGTTTTCAAAAACCTTTAATATATCTGCGTCAAATGAAAACGGTGGTCGTTTTTCCTCCAAGAATTAAGAAATATTTATAATATCACATGGGGCTAGCCTAAGAAATAAAAATAGGATGACATGGGTAAAGATTCGAATCCGAATACTTTCTATGTAACAAAAACAAGGGAAATATAGATGATACTGTTAAAAAGGGACATTATACATTTTAAAATTGAGTCATGCGTATAAAAAGAAATGGAGTGATTAACTTGACAGATCCCCCCTTTTTTTAAAGGAAAAAAATCTTGGTAAGTAAGTGTTTTAATTAGTTTAATCAGTTACTTATCTAAGCTAGTTGTAGATCTAACACATAGCGTAAAATATAAGATTCATTTTATTTTTAGTTTCTTAAGCATAGAATCATTGTGCAAAGTAAACTAGTGCTCGTGGAGTGGAAAAGTTATACGCAGCCAATAAATTGAAAGGTAAAAAAAAACTAAATAGTTTTAAGTTTAAATTCTGAAAAAATCCTTATTTGGAGGACTTTAATTTTAAACATTTTTTACCAGACAAAAATTAAGCTCAAATTCTAAATAATTTTGAGATATCTGCACAGGAAAAAATAAACTATTTACTAGTTAGTTGCAAGAAAATCAACTCAGTCTCCTTTAAATAAATTTATGGGGTCGAATAATTCACGAGGAAATTCGAATTTTCTCTGTTTAGGATCTGTCAATATTTAAATTTGAACAGTGAGCAATAATAAAAACCATATATTTGTTTGGATAAAAAATATTCCTCCGGTCCTAAATGTAAGACTCTTATACACACTAGTATAAGGGTCTTATATTTAGAGCCGTAGGAGTAAGAGGATAAAATTCAAACACAAGTGGTGAAGCAATTCAAGACGAGGACCTTCATAATCCTGATATGACAAAATCAGAAACTGTCATTTCTCTTAACATATTTATTAATTGTTGAAAAGAAAAATGATGATTGTAAAGGTTGACAAGAAACCATACCAGCTCAGAATCAAATTTCGAATTTCAACTGGGTTAGGTTTCTCCAAAATGGTTTTCCCAAAATGATCACTCTCTGCTTTTGGGAAAAGATGACAATTAAAAAAAATATTAATTAGATTAGAGGATCGGAAGCTAAGATTTTCTGATGGAACATCCATTAACACCAGATGCATGGATCAGGTTAACGAGGAACTCATACTCAAGCATATACCTTGGAAAATGACATCAAAGTTGAATACTTTCTTCATTCTCGTTGCAATACTGTTTTAAACATTGTCAAGTATTAAACATGGATATCTTTTTTAATAAGAATTCAAACTTAATTGTCGGGCACTCAAGTGAGCAACTCAACAAAAATTAGAATCTTGATTCATGCACGTTGTTAGAAACTATCTTCTCCGCTAAACCCAATTTTCATTGATAATTATCCTTGTTGAATGTACATGGTAAGAACATTTTTATAAGAGATAATTCCAATACAAATGATTAAAGAAAGTAATTTAGAAATCAACACATGTTTTTTTATAAATAACTAATTTAATTAATATTTGTAATCTTTGCAAATTGTTTATAATCGTTACTAATTAGTCATCCACCTCCTATACCTATATTAATAACAGCTTGGGCATTGCGTGTTAATCCCAAACTTTGGCTTCCTTGTAAAGTTCCACATTTCTTGCAAATTCAAAAACGACGGCCAATTTTTATATATGTTGCTTCCCTATCTGCTCTGCTGCTTATTCATATGTTGAGGGAAAAATAATCTTATCCATGCATATGAGGATTTTGATTTCTTAAATAAAAGACAAAAACTCTCAATTTTAAACACAAAAAAGAAGTCATCTTGGCATCTTTGAATAAAGAAAACGATCCTTTTTGTTTTTTGGGTATTAAGTCAAACCTTTAACTTGGCCGACTAATGGGAGCCTAAAGAACACTCGCAGAAGTCAGAACTCATACAGCGTGCTGTATTCAAATTTGAAACCACAGAAGTTGCGTGTCAGTGTTGGGCCATTGAACTCAGACACCAAAACAAAACTGTGTGATGCGAGCAGGCTGTAGTGGTCAAAACATGAAATTCTCAAATGAAAATAAATAAATAAGTAGTTTCTCAAATGAAATAATTCTGTTGGGACTCTTAGGAGGAAGAAATAGTCCAGCTCAGAGGGTGAGAAATGCCAACAGCATCCTTATAGAAATTCTTCTGTGCTGATCTTTCTACATTAGTGCAAGGATTTTTCCAACTAAGATATGTTTGGATTAGTGGAAACAAAGCTGATTTTCATTTCATCTAACTTTTATAAAAATCAGTTAGTACAATATGATTTACGTTTAGATTGACATTTCTAGAAAATCAGTTTGAAAAATTAAAACTTGTGTGAATGCATTATAAAAAAATAAGTTTAAATATAAAATGACTGAAAAAGACACAAGTTTTTATATAATACTCAATTAACTAATTTAAAAATATTAAATAAATTAAATAAATTATTGTAAAGTATTTAATTTAATTAATTAATTTGACTGATAAACTAATATATAATTTAATGACATACAAAAATATTTTAGAGAGATCATAAAATATATAATAGAATTAAGTAATTTATTTAACTTTTTAATATGTTCAAATTAATCTATTAAGATCTTATATTGAAGAGCGAATGTGACATATCAAATATATACAACTTGTAAATATTTAAAAACAAATAATTATATATATTTAATAAATAAAAATATAAAAATTACAAATAACAACAAATAATTAAAAGATTAAAAGTAACAGAAAATCTAATTAAAAAGTCTCATTAAAAAAACCTTCGAACACAACCACCTAAAAAACAAAAAACCTTTAAACACAGCCCACATTTACATAGTACGACAAGAGAGGGGAGAGGCTTCATTCAGAGAAAAGAAAAGAGGACAAATCTGGAAATTAGTCATGCAACACAGCGCAAACCAACGCACCTAACGCAGCTTCAGCCCTAGCACAGGTTACGAAGCAAAATAACTTCTGAGCTACTGCTGATCCAAACAAGAAAAATTTGACTAATGTAGCTTTTATCTTTTGATAACACGTTTGGGGTGGCCCAACACCATTCCAAACAAAGCCTAAGGAGGTGTTTGGGAAGCCTAATAAACATTTTTCAATAACATTTTTTCACAAATCGAGACAAATTCCTTCGTACATTTACCTCATATACTGTAAAAACACTTTTAAAATCATGATTTTAATTTTACCCAAACACTTTTTAAATGTATATGGGGCGTCAGCAAAGAAAACGCTCATATTTTCTCCTGTATCTCATCTAGGACTCACATTTAACTGGTTCAAGGGTAAGGATAAGGTCCTCGGATGGAAAACCTGACAGGAATTTGAAAGTAACAATAATTCTTACCCTTGTAACTCATCACCACATTTCGTAGGACATTGAACAAAATTGAGTTTTGTTTATCCATTACAGAAAGTTGTCCCAAGTAATACCTGGGCGTTCCCCAATTCCCAGGAACATTTGACACTGATGACTTGGCAAAAATATGTATGTGAACCGTGAAGGTTGCCCCTTTAATTGCAACCTATTCACCAAAAAAAAAAAAATCTAGAAGCCAAAACTTTCATCTTTAGTATACAGTACAACAAAAATTTCCCTCAGGCCACCGCAAATAATTATAAATTAATAAGATTTATTGCCTAGCCTCTCTTAATCCAACTAATATGTGACAAACTCCTAGCTCCTGCTTCAGAGGATAATAAGCAGTAACAAATCAAATCATAGCCACATTCAGATGGCATGGTCCAAGAAGGTGAGAGCCTTGTTCAGTGCTTCTTGTTCTTCTTTCTTCCTTTCACTTGTTTCTCTAAGCTTCTGATCCTCTGACTAAGAATAGATGAAGAAGATATCTTCTGACCTGGAAGTTTCGATTGTTCAACTGGAGACGGGTTTGATTCATTGGCTGCTTCTGAATCTTTCTTTGCTGTCGGAAAAAAAGAGAAGGGAGATTGTGGTGCGTTGGTAGGTGCAGCAGCAGGCATTTTTGGAATGCGCAACGCTTCCTTAACGCCAGGAACTTTAAGCGCTGAAAAATTCATACACAAAAACACACTAACGATTTTATCTCATCCGTTATTTGAAATGATTTCAAAAGAACTTAATTGCACGACTGAAAAATTTTTTACAAATTAGATCCTAAAAAGAACAAGGTCAGTCGCAAATTATTTTCTAACAAATTGCAGATCTAGGAAGATATAAGTGTTAAATGCCTGGGAAAACAATTTTAAATTATTAGGAGTGAATTGACAGCATTTAAGTAATTTATGTAAATTTTGTCCTTTAAGTAATTTTAAATTATTAGGTTGAAAATCGTTTAAGATGGTTTGGACATGTGCAGAGAAAACCATTGGAGGCCCCGATGAAGAAGGTGGATCAGACAAGATGGAGTCCCATAAAAAGGAACAGAGGAAGACCAAGAAGAATGCTTAATGAGGTTATTGAACGAGACCTCCTAGTCAACATATCTAAGGATTGGGTTGTTGACAGAACACGATGGCGTCGTGTGATTCATGTAGCCGACTCCACTTAGTGGGATAAGGCTTGTTGTTGTTGTTGTATTGAAATTTTAAAATGTTTTGGTGCTTTACTGGAATTCACATTCCTCAAGCAGAATTGAGGCCATAGGAGTACCAGGAGATAGGTTTTGCTTCAGAAGGACCAATTTTCTTAAAATACTACGAACTTTGTGACCTTGAAATGTGGTCGTGAAAAACTCACTTGTAATGAAATCAACAAAACAATGGGGAGATCAACTGACCAATAGTTGAAAGTGACCGTCCAATTCAATTAGTCATGAAAACGAAATATAACCAGATGCCTTGCAAGGCAATGATTAAGCATGCATGTCACAAATAACGTAAAGAAAACCATTCTGCCCCTTTAAAGAACCTAAAATGCCTTACCGAGTCCGTATCCAAGTGAAAACAAATTTGATGTAATCCAGTAACAAAATATAGCCTGCGAAATTACACAGATGACAAAGTGAGACAGCATAAAAATGTTGAAGCAAACTACAGGTACTCTGGCACGGTGGGGAATCACTCCATTTCACTATCAGCTATATAAATCCACCCTCTATACATCATTAGTGGAGACAAAGGAGTAAGATCAGGAGAGAAGAAAAAGATTATGAAAGGAAGCTTTGAATAGGCATTTAGAGAGAAAAATTTGCTTTTCATTTCTTTTAAACACAGGACAGCCAATAATTATAATATATAGAACAAGTGACGATTAGGTATCATTTGCAGTCGGTGACTTATCCTTTCTGAAAATCGAAAATTACTATGTTGTCTGGAGGCTGAAATCATAATCACAAAAAGCTCGCCTCATAGTTTAATTACAGAAAAACTAAATACATCAAATGAAACCAACTTTAATGGAAAGATAAAATATAGAGCTGCAACTATTTGAAGAGAGCAGAGGATAGGCAAAGGGAAATTATTCCCTTCAAGTAAGGCTATGCTGGAAGAGTTTACCTTTGGAAATCCCATGGTAAAAGGAACCGTAAAAACAGCAAGAACCCTAGAGACATTTTTCATGGTGCCCGCAACAGGATTTCCTTCCATTCCCTCTTGCATATTGCACTGAAAAACAATAAGTGAAAAAAAAATTATCAATTATGAATAAAAAAATAACAGTCAACACCACTCTCATCAAATCATCATTTTACCGCAAAAAAGACCCTAATAGATCATAGTGAATGATATGAAAAGAAAAATTGAAAAGGTCATTCCTATGGAAGTCTATTTTCTTCCCCCTATTTTTCACTTGGATGGGAAGCATCATCCCTCCAGACCATGAATTTGTCTCAAAAGTTCACAAGGAAATAATATAAATAAGGATGAGTGTCTCTTTCAAATAAGATTTAACATAATGGCTTCTATGTTACACTATCTTTTTAACCACCTCTTATACAGTAAATTCACGAGATAAAATTTAAAGCAGAAGAGAAAATGAATACAATCAAAACATCCAGGCAAGGAAAAAGCAGACAAATCTAGAAAGAGAATTGAGAGTTAACAAGCAGGTTTCCATAGAGAAAATGCTCACCTCTACCGTTATTAAGAATGACAATGCAGTCAGAATTGGCAGAACGTACAAGGTATCGGGAGTTGAGAGATCAAGGAACCAATAGGCTCCACCATTTTTGAATGATGGCATCTTTTCAGCCATGTTTGTTATCTGGCAAATAATACAAGGATGAAAAAGGTAAAAGGTACAGGTTTATCAAACTCAAAAATTTAAATTTAACAGGAAGAATAAGAACTTGACAGTGTCTTACCGCAAGGAAAAAGCTGACAAAGATAGGACCTTGAATAAAGAGTCCTTTCAACGGAGTAAATGGACTCACACCATATCTGCATTACCAAAAACACAATGATAAAATTACATATGGTGAAACAAAGAATCCATTATGTTTTGGTTTATGCATAAAACCCTATTCCAAAATGCCATAGACCAGTGAGTAGGACTAGTTATAATCTCAAAATTCTCTAATGTTTAGTTACAACAAGTATTCTTCCACAAACTCAATCATCACACGCCTATTTGAAAACCAATTTTTAAATCTAAAATCCTTGTGCATGGCCAGAGACTCTTTTCCCTTTCAAACATGACAGAAGCACATGCTACATTGCATTTGAGGGATCAAACCATAACGCCAGGCGACAAATTTACTGGCAAAGAAAAGGCCAGAAGGGGCCATTTATTGTTTTCAGCTTTGGTAATCACAAAGATTGTTCCACCAATACATTATATCACGAAATGAAAATTACATAGGATGACAGATTGCATGGTTCAATCATGACATGAAAATCACCATAAAAATAAAGCCAATTGCCAAGGATGTTATTTATCAGAAGACTGGAAAACGACTTACTCTTTGAACAGTTTCTTCATCTTCTTTTGACCTTCAGCAACAGCCATGGGATCCATAGCCTAAATAACGAATGTAATTGCACTTAGAGAAGCACTCCTTTCAGAGAAAAATATTCAGTAGCATCTAATACATGTTATCCAACATAGATAAAGATAAGAGAACACTTGCAACTTACACGTGAACAAAATCTAGACAAAAACATAATAAAATTTCAAAGAAGCATCATATTTCGGGTTGATGCCCATTGGGAATTGTGCTTACAACAGGATGTAGACCGTATTTTCCTAAAAATAAATGTTACTGTACTTGGAGAAGCATTTGTTTTGGAGAAAAACAGTTGGTAGAATCTAATTTGTGTCTCCAATATGGATAAAGATAAAAACACTTGCAACAAAAAACTGAACAATATTTAGGCAAAATTTTTCACAACGAGGCACCAAATTTCAGATTGATGTCCATTGTGGATCGCATTTGCAACATGTTCTAGACTGAATTTCCCTTGAAATTGAATAACAACATTTTTACAGAACAAATAGAGACAGGTTGAATGGATCTAATCCAGAATGCCAGAGTTTCAGCCAGGACAAAGGACAATAGTTCAGATATTATCATCGTTCATAAAGGAAAATTGCTTCTGGAGATTACAACTTTCAGATATTGGATCATGGCAATAACACTTTCCTTGGTACACAAGCATTAATACTTGCATAACAGGATCAGTTACATTGCTTCCACTATAACCATTATCATTTTATTAATAGCAATATTACCTCTAATCAAGAAAATGACTATGACCTGTGAAACAGTTACCTTATCTTGCATCTCTTGCTTAATGTCCTCCAGGTGAGGCCTCATTAGCTGAACACATGAAAAAATATAATTAGATGCCAAGATTTATAACTACACAATAATAAAAGCACAAAACAATTATAAGTTCAATCATGGAAAAAAAAAAAAACTCAACGGCCTTTCTAGATGTCAAAGAAGGAAGAGAGTTTTTCCCTCTGACAGTCTAACCCTTGCTTGGGCAGTCTTAATTTAATGACGAAAGACTGAGAAAGGGAATAATGGAGGCCCCATTGCCATAAACTTTTTGTCAACTCTAATTTTTGGGGGAAAAAAAGGGAAGGAACAGGGTAAGTAATAGCCGTTCCTTCACTTAGATTCTGCAAGAAACAAAATCATGGCAATAGGTAGCGTAACATACAGTAAGCTTGCTGGTGGCCTTAAGTTGATTTATTAAGAGCGGGAGTGTTGCACCTCGAATAAGGAGGGTCGTCAGAGCAATAGCTGCCCACCTGAAAGAAAGAAGCGATATAATATAATAATAACACATTTTATTTCAAAATTTTAGTGTGTCAAATCTCTTATGGAACATCAATAACAAAAACATTTGAATATCAACTCAGAATGCGCACCACGTTCAATAATATAAATCAGTAAAATGAAATTAAGTAGTCAAGAGAAGCTGAAGATTCAAATTTTCCTTCATTATCAATCTTAGAATTCATTCCCAATCAATAGGGCTCTTCATATCAAGCTGGAAATCCCCAAATCATTTAGAAGAAAGTCTTTAAATGCTATATGTTGAATAAGAGTATATTTTGGGCTGACCTATGGTATCCACGAAAAGCTGGTATTTGGAAAAATAACAGCACAAGTTTGGATGCATATCAACCAAACAAGATATTTAACAAAAGGATATGTTAATTCAAACTCATAATTCCTGAAATCAAAAAGCACATGCAACCCACATATGTGCCAGAAGATCCTTCGTATCCATGCAGACTGGTTTGTTTGTAACATAAGCAAAAACTTCTCAGGGCATTATTCCACAAAATATCTTCCCATGGCATTTCTTGGTTTAATTATGTGGTCTCTTAGCTTCAATCATATTTTTGCAATGCTCAAGATATTAATTTCTATTAATACATCTTCTTGAAAGTACTGGGACAAGATACAAATAAACTCACCAATTTAGTCCAGTGTAGGTATGCACATAATCTATGAAATACTGCAAAGCTTGAACAGGTAAAAATGAATCAGCAGCAGCTATTGCAACTTCACTATGTATAGGAGCCTGAGAAGCAACAGACTCCATGGTTGTGTCTGTTAGGACATTTGCTACATCACTTGTGAAGTCAATATTATTAGAACCCTGATTGATTGTAGACATATATCGGCAAAAAGAATATCCAGAGCATGGGACGAGGAAACCATTAGAATTTGTTGTATGCTTAGAAGAGGCAGCAAACCCTAATGATCCATTTATAGAGCTTCCAAATGACCTTTTTTGCAGAAGACGACCGACTTCTGCTGCAGATAATTTTTCATCAGGATATTCACGTTTATGTTCATCACTATGGAAAAGATAACTTAAAGATGGATGGCATTTCCGATCGATGAGTTTTCCTCTTATCAAGAGACAGCGTCTGTAAGCCATTGATATTATTGCAAGGTCTATCAAACAGAATCAAGAAGCCACATTAGACATATATCTAGGAAACTACTTATTATCAAACAACATTGTCAAAAAAAAAAAAAAAAAAGACCAATAGTTAATCTAAGATACACGACATCAATAATACATAATCATGCAGGACCATTGAACTATCACATAAGCAGAATCCAACTGCATGTGGTAAGTTTGCAACTGTATGTGACTTAAGTGGCCCTACTCAAATTTTTCCCTAGTTAAACTCAGAAGTAGCCAAATGTGCAGCTAATAAAAGTTGTTCAAGTGAAACCTGAAAAAATTGTATACCAGCAGTTGAATTTAGACTGGGTATGGGGAAGCTGTCAAGCCATTGCTCAAACACATATCAACAGCCAGGAGTTACTAGTTAACTATCAGTGCTTCCTGGAAAAAAAATGTTCCACTATTTGAACCAAAACCAATACAAGAAACCCAACAGAACAAAATCGAACAATAAGGAGAAAAAGGATGGCTCCCATAAGCAAAAATCCAAGAAACCCAATAGACCAAATCCTATGTTCTACCTTGATGTTAAAAGCATAAGTGGCACTCTTTCCTTTTTTCTTTTTTTCTTCCGGTTTTGCAAATGCGCAAGCACCAATTCTTTAACCCAAAAAAAAAAAAAAAGAACAATTCTGAGCTTATGATTGCACGTGACAATTCAGAAGGCTGCAGATAAGAACACGAAAGAAATTATTTACCAAAAGTGTTCTTCACTCGCCAGTCTTCAACATGCAGCGCCGAGAGAACGACAAACAAGAACGGCGAAGAGCCGAAGACGATGAAAACGAGCGCTGAGCTCTGTGAAGAAGATCGGAATAGGTTAATTAGGAATGAACGGATGGGATGTTTCTTAACAAGTAGACGCTGGACATTTTATTTAATTTTTATGACGTGGCGAATCTTTGAGTCAGCCGATGCATCCAACGGTTTTTATTTAGAGATGAGCAGGGAATCCGGGTTTGGTACTGACCCGTCTGGATCGACTTTGATGATTAGGACCGGATCAGCCCATATCAAAATCAATGTTTCGATTGCTATGGGCCTTCATTCTGAGTATCGAAAGGCCTGTTTTCGTCCACATCCTTATTATGGGTTTTTGAGGTATAAAATTTTGGGCATTGTTTGGTATGAGGAAAATAGAGAGGAGGAGAAAGTAGGGGAAAAAAATTTAAATAAGCTCTATTTAAAAAAATTAGAGAAGTGGGATTTTAAAATTTTAATAAAGAGAAAAAGTAATATAAAAGAGTAATAAAAATTAATTAAAATCTTTTTACCATTTTTTTTAATTTTTCAAATCGAGTTTATTAAAATTTTCCCTCCCATCCCCTTCTCTCATTTTCTCTCATACCAAACAGACCCTTAAAAAATAAAAATAAAAAGTAAAAGGAAACATGGGGAATAAAACATAATATTTAACTTAAAATTGTACCCCCAAAAACTTAAAATTTTGAAATATTAAAAATGGTAAAAAAAGAATAATTTTTGGAAATAACGAAAATATTAATAAACATTACATTTACAGATTTTTAAAAAAATATCCGCTGAATGGACTAAGTCTTTTTATATACAATTACTCGAGATCTGTTATTACCCAGTTAAATTTGAGCATGCTAGATCTTATAGGACAGTTCTTCTAGTATGATATTTTTAATTTTTTCCATCCAACGAGCTGTTTTTTTTTTAGTACCGAGGACACAGAATGGGGAGGTAAAAGAAGCATTGTCTTAACTAGTGGTGTTTTTTTTTTTGGAGGGGAACCAAAAAGAGCTAGTTGGGTCTTTAAATTTTGCATTTTTTTGGAAAAAAATGGCAGGGAGCACAAAAAAATATTGTAATTTAGATACACTATTAAAATTTACAAATGAGAGTTACGTCTAACAGCAAAGACTTATGTCTCACAACATAACGAATCAATATTTAAATTTTTGTTAAAAGAAGTATTCATATTTAGTACTCGTATCTAATAATATCTTAAATATAATCGCGTTTTATTGCATTATTTATTTTTCATATCCCATCTTTCCTACTAAATTAAACATCCCTTGGTCACTTTCAGAAAGTTTAATCACGTCGTAATCATTGACGACTCCGAACGAGCAACGTAAGATAGGCTGAAAAGGAAAAAGAATAACAGAAGAGCCATGTGGATAGGAAATGAGAAAATGGATAGGGATCAACTCAGTCGAAGGTCATTATATGTATAATAAATTAATAATTGCCGCAATCATCCTTTTGAAAACGTCGTCGTCCTTTTGGAAGTTATTCTAAGTAACCACTTAATTTGAGTTTATTGACCTTATCTTAATCATCTCAAAATTGATTTCACTGGACTACCCATTGATGGCTGACTTTGCTGCTGATATATTGATGATTCCAACGAAGTGCTGAAGCTTCCAACTGTAACTCCACTTTCTGAAGGATACAGGTACATGACTTTTGAGGAGGGAGTGCCAATGGCAGTGAACATGTCAATGACTCAGCTTTAATATAAAAGCAAATCACAAGATATAATTTGGCATTCTTTCTCAAGCTTTTTTGGCAAAATTGGGATCTTTCACGTGCTGAAGGCAATGGCTCGTGAGCCTCCATTTTCTCGGGCAACAATACCACCTCCTATCTTTAATATAAAAATTAAATAACGAATTCAAAAAAATTAGTTATTTGTAATAAATATATGTTGATTTCTTTAAATTACCCTTATCCTTATTCAATCATGTATATTGAAACTATATTTAAGTGACTTTACAATTAATAGGGATATTTTTTAGAATTATTATAAACTGAGAAGACAAAATGGATTGAAATCTTATACTTAAAACCGTTAACTAACTTTTATACTACTTTTAACGAGGTCTTATAATTAGAAACAGATGTAGTGTTCAGGACCAGAGGTAGTATCTTTGGACCGAGGCAAAGTCACATGGGATACTCGTGATTACCAATGTAAGAATTGCTCCGTTTGCCCCCTGTTAATTGTCTTTTTATGAGAGTATTTTATATTTTATTCATTACTCACATTTTAAAAAAATAAATAAGTTGTATTGTTTATGTTATTTAAAACTACTACATCATATTAGTATTTTTATATGAAGGTAAAAAAAATATTAGAAATCTTATGTTAGATATAATTTTTTCGGCCAACTATATATAAATATATAAATTAGAAGTATCAATGTCAAATTTTCAATTTACAGCATACTATCTATAAACTATGAATGTTACACCGAATAACACGCATTGGTAAGATCAAGTTATGAAGTTCAGAAGAATCTAAGGATTTCAAAATAAATAGAATTTTAAAATACTTTAATATTATTATTCGTCTTATTAATCGGGGAAAATTCTGGTTGTCTTGTTATTACTCCAGGTGTATTGCTCAGGCGATTTTATATTTTTATTAAAAAAAAAAAAAAAAAGCGCACAATGGCGCAGGGTGTGGGCGTTTGATACTAGATTACTTCCCCTCCAAGGCAATCACTCTGATCTGACCTGAAAGAGACATCCCTCGAACATTTCTACGCCTGCTAATGGTTCTGTTGCTATTTAATTATTCATTCAATTGTCTGTTTGTTTATTCAGTTCGCCTTGGTTTGAAGTGGCTGCGGTATCTACAAGGTGGACTGTCTCTGGCCTTTATATAAATATTGCTTTCATCTATGTGGGTTTATGTATTTTGACCTCGTGCGCTTCTTCGTGGTGCGGCCAATACTCAATTCTGACGGGTGGGTTTCTGAGCAATGGCTTCGACGCTGTTATTGGCGGTGGTGTTCGTGTTTGATCTCATTGCTTTTGCTCTTGCTGTTGCTGCTGAGCAGAGGAGAAGTACTGTGAGTCCGTCTTCTCGCTTTCCCTCCTTTTCTTTTTCCTCTACTTCAATCCTTAGCTGCTTAGAAATTGCTTTTCTTGGCTATGATTTTCTGCTTCTTCTGGGGTTCAGTAGATTTAATTGCTGAGTTACTTTTGTGGTTCAAGATAGCCGATTGAGAAATCTGGGATTTGGGGTTTTCATTTCCTTAATCTGGGACTGGGTGAGAAATTCAGTAATCTATTTTCCGTTTGAGTGTGGAAGACATCTTTTACATAGTGACAGTTGAGTTTCTTCCCTGTTCATTCTGAGCCTTGCTTGACCTCTAATGGAATTCGGATGGGACTTAGGGATTAGTGACATTGTTGAATTTTTCCCTCAACTGGTTTATTACTGTCTCAATAAATCTTTTCACCGAACAAGCTGGACGATGGTGTTGTTATGTTCCATACAACCAGGAGCCGCTGTACTTCAGTAAATGAATGAGTGGAGTAAGGTTGTTGAGCAAGTCAGACGAATATTTGATTGCAAATAATTCAAGTGTGTTCAGATTTTGGAAATTGAAAGGGCATAAGATGAGTTAGATTTAGTTATAGAAGTTATTCAGTTGCAGAGGAGAAGTTTGCTTGGCCGCTGAGAGAACACTGCCATCTGCCAAGGAAAATGAGATATAATCTTATGTTGCTAAGCACAAAACTTGTACCGATATTAAATTCTGTTCTGACAACAAGTTTTGCCTTATAGATTGTAATTTGGATCTGACTTGTTGGTATTTGACTTCCTTTCCTGCTTTTTTAGATTGAGTAGGTCAAACACTTGACTGAAATTCAGGATATGTTATAGAAAAAAATTCGTTGTTTATGGATTGGGTTTAGGGGAACAATCAGGTTCGATCTATGCCACACCTCAGACCTTTCCCATATTATTGTACGATATAATTCCTTAAAAGTACCAGAGGTAAGATTCAAACTTAAGATTTTATTTGTTTGTTTGAAAACTAAAGGAATTGAAACGTATATGAGTTTTTGCAATTCAATATTTATGAATATATGAACAGAAAAATTGATATCAAAGACATTTTATTAGAGGATAAACTTCTCTCCCTCGCTCTCTTTTAGTTTTTTACTGAAGAACCTGCCTTTTCCCAATCCATTGTCATCCCTATTGTGCCAAATTCACCAATTAGTTAGGAAGAGGGGAACATGACAAAAGACTGTAGAAATTGGATATATTAGTCTGTTTGGCCCTCTTTTTAAAGGAGAAACTATAAGTTTCACAAAAAGAAAAAAGTTTTCTCGGTTAAATGTGGTGTTGGCCTAACTGTTGGGGGAAAATTAGCGGGAACAGGTTTTTTTTCCCTGCTGCAACTAGGATTTTAAAAACTTGGTGTTCTCCTTTGAAATAGCGGCAGGTAACTTTTGTTTTTCCAGAGACCATTGTATCTTCAGAGTCTTTAATTACCATAAAAAACAACTAAACATTTTCGTCTACCTCTCAAATACATGTCTTTTTAATAATTTGATCGTGTAAAGTACTTTTTTTTTTAAGAAAAATACTTGTGAAACACTGTACAAGAAGACATTTTTCATAACTTATGAACAGTAGGTCTTCGTACAAATTTAATATATTATATAAATATAGATATAGATTAGAAACCTTATTGCTAACATATCAAGTAACTGCATTTAAGTAAAATCCATTAAAAGAAGCAATTTCAGAATAAGTTGAAAGATCCCAGCAATCACTAAAGGGCTTTACATTCATGGAAAAGGATAACAGAGCATAGATATACAGATCCCAACCTGCAGTGGTTAAATAACTTTTAGGGGTAATCATGAAATGGATTAACAAGTGCCTTCGCAAACAAAACCTGATCAGTATTCATATTTCTAAATGTGTAGACTCCTGTAAACATACTTACATGAAGTTTTTTTACTGTTACATTGAAACATACCTATCTTTTGTTCAAAATGCCCAAATCATGGCTAAACATGGGTTCACAGGAAGATAGGGTAAAAACAAAGGATTTTTTTTTTTTTGGGGGGGGGGGGGGGGGAATGTAGTAGAACAACTAGAGATGGAGGAAGATTTATACAATGAGAGAACCTGTAGAAAGACCGTGTACCTCACACACGTGACGTGACAAAGGAAAATTAAGCTGACGTTATCATGAGTTCTCCAATAAAGAAATAGAACATCTGGGGATTAATTTTGAGATAAAGCCTAAAACCATGAAATCAAGAGTTCTAATAGTGAGACGCTCACGTTTGAAGTCAGAGAGTATTGACCAGTTTTTATCCTTTTAGTCCAATTTACTTGCTAAATGCATAACACACATCTGACCAAACTTTGCTATATCTTTCGTATTAATTTATTCATTCATCTTTTTGTTAAAAGGTAGGGGCTGGAGGGAAGGTATTCCGATTATAGTTTTAACCTTAAGCATCGTTTTTTATCTTCCACTTTCTTCTTTGGACCAAAATTCGCTCTCATTTTTATTTAATATTATCAATCGATTATACTATTCAAAATCAGAAACAAATCCAGAGGTTCTGAATATGGATTTACTTACTGGAATTCAATTATTCTGACAGTTCACAATAGTCAGCGAGGGAAATCAAAACTTCTGTCATTATGATTCTAATATTGCAACTGGCCTAGGTGTGGGATCCTTTATAATTCTAGTAGCCAGTCAAGCGATTATAATGGTGGTCACTAGATGCTTGTGCTGTGGTCAGGCCATGAGTCCTAGCAGCAACAGATCATGGGCAATTTGCTTGTTCATCACCAGCTGGTATGTTGCTTAAATCTGATTAAATAGAGATGATAAGTTTGCTTCAATTTGTTAATTTAATAATTTCGAAGAAGCACATGTTTACACTACCAACCTCAGTGCAACTTTGTCTAAGAATATGCTTGTTCTCTTTATTTCTGATCTATAGACACATATTTCATGCCGGTAACAGTTACAATATTGTCACTGCCACGACATTTTAACATGTGCTTAACACACTAAGTGAATATATACGTATGTGTTTGTGTTTGTGTTCTGGCATGGTTTCAGCATGGTTGACCTAATTGACTAAAAAAGAAAAGGAAAAGGAACCAAAAATTAGATTTGGAGTGAAACTGGAAAGTAGAAGTCCCATTTTGATGAGATGGTGCAAGTTCCTTCCTGATTTTTTTGTTGAACACAAATAGTTTCTTTTGGGACTATGGCAATGAAGGTACATATAATACAAGATAATCCCAGCTAATTACATCACTGAATGGAAGCTTAAAAAAATCTGATGCACATGCCATGTTGATGATGTTATTCATCCATTGAAGGAATTCAAATCTCATCTCGGCTTCTATAAGTCGTTTTTGCTGATATTGATGATTCAGGGTGACATTCATTGTTGCCGCATCATGCTTGCTGGCTGGTTCTGCGAGGAACGCCTACCATACAAAGGATGGGACTGCCATGCCTGCCAGCCCTTCATGTGTGACATTGAGGAAGGGTGTGTTTGGAGCTGGAGCTGCCTTCATTGTGTTCACAGGGATAGCCTCCGAACTCTATTATGTTCATTATTCAAAGGCTAATTCTGGTCCACCTCCCTATGCTAGGGACTCTGGTGTGACGCTGGCTAATATGTAGCTCAGAATCATTAGGAGGGGCTAGTGTCAGTAAGGTTGACTGCTTCGTATGTGAAAACCTATTGTCTGTGCAAATTTAGTCATGGATTTTGATTCGTCAAAAAGGATTTTCATTTGTTTAATGGTTCGGATGTCCCATTTTACTCGCAAATATTGTTCTGTTGGAAACTCTCAAATCTTAACCCATACGGAGGACCCTCCTCCACTAAATCATGTAAGCAGGACGGAGAAGTCAGGATTTTTTTTTTTTTTTGGTTATTCTCAGTACACAATAAGCAACTAAAGATGAACTTTTTTTTGGGGGGGGGGGGGAGGGTTATCGTTGTTAATTTCAACTAATGATCTTAAAAGTGACTTCTTTTACTGGAGGAATAAAGAACACCAATTACCATTTTTGTTTTGTCACTGTTATTAGTTCCAGATTTGACTGTTCTCTGAAGGGAAATTTTGATTTTTAACATCTGTAAGTGCTATTAATTATCAAGATTCGCTTGGTGTAATAAAAATATTGGGCGGTAGAATAAAGACAGGAATCAGCACCGGCCTTGCTTGATTTGCCTCATGGGGTGGTCCAGTCTGGTAACAAGCAAAGCAGAGCCACATTTTTCAAACTGGTCCTGTCCTTTTTGTTGACAATATTCACACCTATATATGGATTTCCTCATATAATCCTTCATTTTGATGCTGCCATTTGTATCATTTATAGAAGTGGGGGCCTTCGCATCACTCGGAATAACCTCACAAACTAAAGGCAACAAAAACCAACAGAGGAAAAAGATTTCATCTCTCTCTCTCTCTCTCTCTCTCTCTGTGTTAGTAACAACTGGTTATCTTTTGGAAGATGAAGCTACAAAAAGCAGATGGAGGAGGCCTACACCAAACTCATGTGGCCGACTAGGCAAAAGAATCCATGGGATATTACGTGCGCATCTAACGTGGCGGATGATTGATAACTAATTTAGAATAAGTTACTTATTTACTACCTTCAGTCCTCATTATAAAAGCTATTTGACTAATTTGAGTAAATTAAGAAAGCTAGTTAAGTTAGTTATTTGTAATAAATAGATGTTGTATTTTCTAAAATATCCTTACTAATCAAGTGTATTGGTTAGAATTATCATTATTACAAGGATTACATTAGAAAAAAATAGATAAATATGAGGAAAAAATAAATTGAAGTCTTATATTTTTTATCAAAATAAAAGTCAAATAAAGTCTTATATTAAGAACCGGAGGTAGTATAATAATATATATCTGTTTCTCTAAAATATTTCTTTTGATCGTTATTTTATTGATCATATTTTCACAAAAAAAAAAAAACCATTTTCATATAGACAGTCAATAGTGATAGCTACGAGAAATAAATGAATTTGATAAATAAAACAGATTAAGCTCTCATATTTGAAGCAAAATAAATACCTCAATTAGCTCTTAAATTTAGGATTGAAGAGAATATGATGTAAATCTTACATAGATTTTGAGGGGTCGAAAATATATAAAACCTATATAATATTATTGAGAAAAACTTAAAAATTCAACTAGCCCCTAGCCAGTCCCTCTATTCCTCCTCCATCATTGATCTTCTATCATGTACATCTTTATACGTACACAGATAAATATATCAGAGTTTTTTTTTTACCAAAAAAATATGAGAGTATGAATCATGCCGTGTCTGTACAGTGTCGTACATAGGATGAGTACATTGTTAGTTTGTTACGTGTGCATGTGTACAATTACTTAGACAGCATAGTAGTTGAGAATTACAGCATAATCCCAAATTATCATTTTAATCTATTAACGCGGATTTCCCCAACTATATCAAAGGAAGCTTGTTCAGCCGCCGACTCCAGGTATTCGGAAAAATGCTGCTTTGGACCCCCAAAACTTTCTACAATTGCAGAATAATCCTTCGTTAATAGTATAATTAATTAATTTCCAACATGACTCAATCCATGCGAAACAATCAACATGCAATTCACATTAATTAATATAATTCGATCACAATTCCTGAAGATTATAAATAAAATGATGAAAAAAAAGATTATGCATTTCTTTGAATTTGTTACGGATAAAAAATTCAAATTTCAAATCACAATTCTTTGACCTTTTTTATATCACAAGAAACGTATTAAATTTTTATTACCTTTAGCAAAATTATCATAATGATATAGGTAAAACATTGATGTATAGCTTATTTCATATGCTACTTGAAAAATATTTTTAAAATCATCATTAGTAAAAATTATCTCACACACAATTGAGTTAACAACGAAGTTAGTTTTTGTTTTTTATAGTATGACAAATTAAAGTTTAGATTCTCATAAGAAAGAGCTACTCACATTTATCCAAATCCTAAAATACACTACTTTCGATTCTTGATATAAAACATGATTGACTAATTTAGAGATATTAATACTAAATCATTTAATTATAACACATGTAATAGGATCTGAATACTTATGTGAAACGTGAAACGTCAAATTATATATATGAATTTATAAAAGAAGCAAATTAGTTTAGAAAAAAAGTAATAAATATAAATAATTTAAAGTATTTTAGTAACTTTCTTATTTTTTTAAATTAGTTAATTTGATTTTATATTAGAGAACGTAGTACTCCCTCTGGTTCTAAATATAAGATTTATTTTGTAGGATAAATTACACTGCAAATTACACTATAAAAGGAGTCTTATATCTAGAACCGGAGGAATATAATATCTTTAACAAATCTTCACACACACACACAAAATGGCGATAATGAAAGCTGGTTTTGTTGATAATCTTAACGAGACTATGGTTCCGAATTTATTTTGTGTAAGGATTTTATTCTCGCGCAACTTAAATAGGACAATTTATTTTTCAAATTCTGCGCAGAGAAATGTGCAAGTGAAAGAACTGCCAGATACTTCTATTCCATAGGTCTGGAAGGAAGACGAAAACGACAAGCACAAACAGAACTTGAACGCGGACATGGTGGCCCATCATTCCATACAATGTTCTGTTAAATCAGAACAAACCATCAAACACCATGTGAACTAAAAGCCCGCGCAGACAAATTATACCACAAACACACCATATATATATATATATATATATATATATATATAAACACAGAATATTAACAACACTTGTTTCAGGCCCAGCAGCTGAAGAATGATTCTCCACAAGTGGCGATTATGAATCATCACCAATCAAATCCATGTATTGCATTCCAACAATATTCCATGTAAATAAATACAAATATGATGGATCCAAAAATTTACACCACCACAAAAATATTGATTGTTCATTCTTCTTCTCCATCTGGAATCTTACCCTCTCATTTTTGTCAGTTCATCATCTGTGTTGGGTCAGACCAACCAATATTCTTCCATTCTCATCACTGTCACAAAGCACTCAGATCAGAATTTCTGAATTCAGATTCCTGTACTGCTGAATAATGCCGGATGAAGAAGATGGCTGGGCTAGCTAGCTTGCTACTTGCATTTGCATATAACATTAGAGTAAATGAAGAATGAGAGAATTAATTAATTAGAACTAAGAGGCAATCATCAGAGTCGTTACATTAAGGAATTAAAATTTGAACTCTCAAACCCCTTTTGCTTGAAGATGAAGCTGAAACTTAAAAAAAGGACAGCTCCAAATACTGCAACTTCTTAGAACTCTCCGTCTGAAAACCAAGAACACAAAACACCCCCAATAAACAAACCTATAAACACTACTTCGTACGTATATATATTTATATCATATATGTGTGTCAATTAATATATCTGTTACTTCTTCTTCCTCGCTCTTCTTCTGCCTCAGGGTTTTAAATCAGAATCATCCCAGGGAACATTGAGATCAGTTGAGACCAACGAATCGAGGTCTTCCCAAGTCCAGTAGTTTGACGTTTCCCTATTGGCTACGCTTGTGGAAGGTATCTCCCATGGCTGTGTCTGTGTTTGGGTTGGCTGCTCCATTGTCTTCAACTCTTGGCCGTAGTTGTTATTATTATTGTAAACGCTTGAGGGTCTCAGAGAGGTTGAAACAGAACATGGGTTTGTCTCAAAAGAGCTCGGGCTTGAGAAAGGGAAGATAAAGCTCTGGTTTTGATGAGGAAGAAGAGGCAGACTCGAAGTCAAGAAGCTGCTGGTACAATTCCCAATTCCAAAATCTTTACTTTGTGGTGATGAGTCTCTGGGGTTCATCAGATTCTGATGAGGAAGCAGCAGGGACGGTTGTGACGGAGGAGGACGAATCAGAGACTGAAAGAGAGAGGCAGAGGATGAAGGAAGAGGAAGATTATTACTCGGCCTTTGCAGAGAACTCTGAATTGTCATGCGGGTACTCAACCCACCACTGCCGGAGGTTGAGGAGGCGGCGGCGGAGGAAGAGATGCGGGTGGATGATTTCTTGACCCGTTTGTTTTTCCGGCCACCGCCAACGGGGACATTGCGCAGGGTGCCACCTTTAGTCCAGTGCCTCTTGCAGGCTCTGCAGAAATGGCGAGGCTGGGACTTGTTGTAGTTGTTGTAGTAACAGAACTTGGTGTTGGTCGAATCACACCTCGGACACTTCAAAGGCTCCGATGATTGCTGAGATTGCTGTCGCTGCTGTTGCATCTGCTGCTGCTGCTGCTGCTGTTGCTGTTGCAGTTTGCTCATCAATGGAGGCTTTGGAAGTTCCAACTTCTGATCTTGAAGCAACGCCTGGTTCCAATCAACCCCACTACTAGAAACCTGCTTCGAACTCAAACCCATATCGATCTTCAATTCGATTCAGATCAAAGAAAGCTAAAACAAGAAGGAGATATAAAAAGTTAGCCTTTTGATCGAGGAGCTACAAGAGAAATCAATCTAAAGTACGACAAGAGTAAGAGATTGCTTGAGTCAGGGGGAAAGAAAACCAGAGCTCCCAAGAACTGGTTCAATGGAAGAAGAAGGAAACACCCAAGGAGAAGAAGCTGGTGGGAGGAGGAAGAAGAAGAAGTGACGAGCATGTCTTTTTACGATCAACCTCTAATATATTGAATAATAATGATGATGATGATGATACCTATTAGAGAGACCTTATCTATCTGTAAAATAGTTATAAGAAGCTGAATGAGAGCAAGAGTTCAAATCTGGCAACAAAACCTAGGAGTTCAATTTTAGTGTCCGAAATGAGTATAATATAGGAAGTGGGGAGAAGAGAGAGAAAGAGAGACTTAACCTCTAAGGTGAAGGTGGGTGGCGGACACGTGGAAAGATGTGGGCCGTTGATAGTGGTGTGATGTGTTTGGGTTGTTAAAGGAACGTAGATATAGATATGCATGATAGTAAGTTAGCTACAATAATTCAAGTAGACTTAGCTTCCAATACAAAGTTGGTAACTCGACATCAGAAAATAAAAAAAATTAGAAAAAAGGAGAAGCATTAAGAGGAGGAGAGATTGACAAGGCAATGAGAAAAAAAAAAAAATTAAAAGGGAGAGGGAAGGTAAATAGACTTGGGGCCTAAGATTCTTAGTGAGGCGCAAAAACAGTTGGCAACACATGGTTTCTTGTGGGATCCACAACAGAGATAGTGATGTATATAGATATAGTCATATATGGGCCAATGTCATGTGATGACATGTTGCAGGTTGGGTAAGTATATGTTATGCGTCTTTGAGTGTTGCATGCACGTGTAAGTCTCTCACATCATTTGAAGCACATTGATTACTTATTATACGCCAATGCTCCACTCATGTAAATCACTCTTAACTTACGTTTAGTCTTAAATATAAAACTCATTTTATGTTACAATTTACACTGTAAAACGAGTCTTATATTTAGGATCAGATTGAAAACGTTTAATACTTACTTTCTGATTTTACTATCCTTATTTAATATTTATTAGAAAAAAAAAAGACGTTAGAGATATGATAATGATTTGTAAATATGAAGAGAGAGAAAACTCTAACAAGGATAAAATTAAAATTTTTTGTATCAATTTCATATTTTTATTATTATGCAAAATGTGTTACAAATTACTTATATATTTATATTAAGAATTAGAATAGCATATATATATATATTATGCAAAGCTGCCTCAGGCCAGAGAGAGTTCACAAAATGATAACAAATTGTTTCTGTTAATTGATTTCATTGAATTTATAAGTTGATTTTTAAATAGAATTATGCTTTTTTTAAATCTAATTACTGAATAATGTGAGATTTGTGATTAAGTTTCTATTTATTTTTTTCCTTTTGGTATAAAACACTTAAATATGTGAAAACACCCTCGATTATGACTAAACGAGCTGGTCGAAAGGACAATAATAGTAACATTTCTTGAAGTCAAAACCACTAATTGAGTTAGTACAGTCTTCTATTAACTGAATTACACGTTTGCTGGTTCTTCCTCCCCTCTTTCCTCCTCCTCCTACCTTTTTCTTTACAAATTGATTAAAATTAAAATGTGTGACTAGATATCTGATTATTAAAATAAATTATTAGTCTAAAAAAACTTGTAGGATGGAATTAATTATATTTGATTTTATATTTTATATTTTAAAACAAATCAATTGATGTCAATTATTCATAATTGCATTATTGCACTTGAAAATTTCACATAAGCAATATGGAATTTTTCATGGTATAAAATATAAAATTTATAACCAATTATATTATTTTTAAGTTATAAATTTTGCTTAATATGAATTAAGTGAAGTTGTTATATTCTAGAAATTAAAAGAGGCCACGTATAACACACACGCACACACTTTCCTATACAAGTCTGTTCGAAATGAACTGTATTATACGTTAGAAAATATTAACTCACAAGAAACAATAATATGCAATAAAATTACATATATCTCCTTTTTTGCCATCAAAATTAGCTATATCTTGTCAAATTCTATTTGACTACATATGTTTTTATCACACGGAGTTTGGGTAAGTTGAAATATTTGTGATGACTTGTAAATGTTAGGATTTACTATTTCCCCGATCTTAATTACAAGACCTCGTTTGTAGATTATAAACAAGATTTTATAATTAGGATCTGAGATAGTATAAATGTTCTCTCATAATGATGATGATTAATGCCAAATAAAAGAGTCCTCCAGAGTCCAGATATTTGAAAAACCACGTTCAGATAAATCTGGCGAGTGATATGAGAGACATGTAACAATTTCAATATCTCATTTTAAATGAATACAAACACGCGACGACACGAAAAAATAAATTATTTTTTCTTCCAAACCTGTCATGTTCTATAGTTAATATATTGAGCATCCGACATAAATCAGATTTAGATACGATTCTTTTCCAAAAAGAAAAGAAAACAGAAAACAAAAATCGGCTGTGGACTAGTACAATTTGTGCTTGATGACTTTGAACTTAAGAGGGCTTTGGATTTCGAGAGTCTTGATTTAACAAGTTTGAAGAATATAACCTTCAAATCATGATCACCAGAGAATTTTTCTTAAACTTGTTCTGTATATCTCTTAGTACATTGTTTCTATTAAAAGTCACCTTATTATATATATGAACACTGGTGGAAGTTTGAAAAAATAGTGGAGTTTGTTGAATCTGGCTTAACCTGTCCCAAAATTGAAATACAAATTCAAACATGTAGCTATTATTATTAATGTTACAAAAAAATTAATTAATGCGCTTTTTATTAATAATGTCCAAAATTTTTGTTCATACGAGAAATTACAAATCACTCATCCATATCCATTTATTTGATATACAAACTAATGAATGATTATACAAAAAATAAATCAAAAAAATTATAAGACATTTGATGAGATACCATAACTACAATTAATGATTTAGATTATATATATATATATAACAACGTGCAGGTGAAATGAGTAATGTAGAATAATATATAGAGTAGGTATAAAAATTAATTAATGAAAAAAAATGGGAAATGTTTGAAGTGAAAGAATTGGGTAGGTGGGGTCAAATATGAACAGATCATGCATGTTCATTGAATGTCCCAGCCGTCACTGCAGAGATGTGCCAGCCTGCCAGGTCAAAGAATGTTCATTCATATTTTATATATATATATATATATATATGTATATATATATAAACTATATATAATATGTTTTGATCTCTTCTTCTTCATAATGTGACAGACTGAAAGGAATATATACATGGAAGTGTAAATTTGAAGTGAACTTTGAAGATACGATAGATAGATATATAATATCGACAGTTGATCACAGAGACAGATGGTCCAAAATTTAGTTCCTTAATTTCCAATATGCTAAATTATCGATCACAGGAGAAGATTCTTAAAAAACGAGGAAAACATTTACGAATTTGTTGCCAAAGAAGCATTATGTATATACTTCAGTTCTTATAATTTCACTTAAGGTTTAATTGAGTAACTGTGATGACCATAGTTTGATTAATATTTTGTCGTATATATTAATTAATTTTACTATATATATTTAGATCGTTTGTTAGCATAATTTATATATATTATATACAAATTATTAAACAGATTTGTTCATATAAAATTATAACTTCTCGTTTTATATACAAATTAAATTGCATGATGACTAAATGAAGAATAAGTGAATCATTAACTCCTGAATCAGAATTAGAAATACCAAGTCTGGACCTAGCTCTCCACAATTAATAGGTCAAACTGTCCGAATTAATCATATTATTAATTAGTACTAATTTAGACGCTAAACTGATAAATGTTATTGGAGCGTTACTAATAGCAATCTGGAAATAGAAATATACTAATTATATCTATATATCACACTCTTAATTAATGAACCATTGTCAGGATCACATGGAATAAGAAAACGAAAGAGACCATGATAATTATTTCTCCAAGTTGGCGAGCGTTACAGAGAAACAGGACCACAAAAGCCACATGCAAATAAATAATTAAGGCACGATTAGGGAATGAAATTAGATTATAAATAATAATGAGAATGATTAATTAAAAAAGAGAGAGGAAATGGAATGTAATTAATTAATAATATAATAGTAAGAGGAGGGCAATTATTCGAGAGGAGGGAGAAAAAGGAATGTGCATGGAAAATCAATGTTGGTCGGTTGGTTAGGTAAAGTGTCTCGTGTGGTCGATTCCTGCAATTTCGAAAAGGACAAAACAAAGAATGTTTGTCGTACAAATTTGAAAATGACTCTCTCTGCTTAATTCTTTAATCCTCGTTTAGCTCTTTAAATAACGCCAAGAGTCTATTAAGTCCAACTAAGAAGCCACCTAAGTCCATCAAACTACTTTACATTAATAACTCTCTCTCTCTCTCTCTCTCTCTCTACACTCACAAAGAAGTTTAAATTAGTATATAATTTTTTTTTTTTAATTCTGAATGACCATTCACTATTTAATTTTCAAAGTGACTTTAACTTCGATTAGAATAGTGAGTGTGAATTCTAAGGTTAGTTAGATAGTGATTGCAAATTGAGAGTGTTGAAGGCGGTTTGAGGTTCAAACTTACTGTACTAATACTGGGGGCCAGTTTGTTTAAAGATTAGAGAAAGAAGTTATTTTAGCACATTTAATATTTGAGTTGTTTGGAGAAACAAAGTTGATTATAGAAGTTTTGTTGGGAAAAAATATATTTTTATCTTTTTTAAATATATTTGTCTAGATCATATTTGAGTTTGAGAAGGAGTTTTCTGTATTTACATATACTAAAACTCGATATTTCATATTTAAGAAGCTCAAAAAAGCTATTTCAAACTATTTATCGAATAAGTTTTTTCCATATATCTTCGTGTATATATAGTTAAAATTCTTCTAGCAACTTCCTTCCTTGTAGTCGTAACAACTATATCATATTTAAAGTGCCTAAGATCACTTTTTTTAAAAAAATTTTAAACAAATTGACCATAAAAGAAATTGTGTGCAAAGAAAGATGCATGGAGATAAATAAAGGCAAGGTCTACCTTGATAGAGGCAGATATTATCTTAATTTTTATCTCTCATCCACTCTCTTTCTAATCAGATGAGATGATTTTGTTGATATAATTTAATTTAATTGTAATTTATGAATTATATCCGACAGTCATTTGATATTAAGTAGCATAAGTTTTGCATTTTATTAATTAAATTAATGATAAATCATAATATGTCAGAATATTAAATATTCGCC